CAGAGTCCTGAGCCAAGATGTGGAAAGAAAGGAATCAACGGTACTGTGAAAACCTTTATTTGTACGTGTATGATGTATTGGAACAGTAAAATGTTCACTTATTTATCAGTATTATGTGTTGTTGTTCAACTCGGGTGGCTTAACTCTGACTGTTTTGATTTTTTTTGCATTTATTGGGTCCATCTATAATTGCGCAACCTGATCCGTCTTTTTCACACATTCCCCACTGCCATCATTTCTCTCCTGCGCAGAGTGACCTGAAAAAGCGAACACTGGAACAACAGTACCAGGAGGTGAAAAAGAGGACAACATTAAGTCACGTGATGAAGTACGGTGAGATGGTGAGTCAAAAAAACACACGCGGAGAGATTCAGTTTTATCACCAATCTATTATGAAAATGAGTGCATTTGTGGACATGTCACTCGTATTTCCTTATTACTGGAAGATGGCGGTCAAGGTTTAAAATAGATGATAAGGGACTTCAGGTTTCATAGACGAAGTTTAGCAAGGCAGCTAGTCCAGTTATCTAGATATACAAGCCTAGCCAGTGTCATCTCGCGGATAACCAAGTAATGGCCCTGGGTACCCTGTGCTCTATAACTTTCTGTTCTATGGTAGAAAAGGTACTCAAATCTGTATGAATCAAGTAACTCAGGAGAAGAATAGATTTACACGATGACTGAAACTCTCACCTTAGAATATATCACTCGTATAGCCAGTGATTTTGTGATCATATGATGGGGTTTCCCGTGATTGAACGATAATTGACGCTGTTGTGCTATCTAAGTGGAAGCCAGTCACTCTGCTGATCAACCTCTTGTGGTTGAAGAGTTAAGCATTCAGTCGTTTGCCGGAAAGTCGCGGGTTCGTCATTACCCGCTGGAGTGAGATGCGCACTACTGCTGACTCACAATATCACAGGAGATATCTATACAATGTTTCTCGGTTTCATAGCATTGATTGGTTTCACTGAAGGGATAGAGCATGCAACCGAATGATGAAGCTCTGCTATGCGGCACAAAGCAAAGTGCACAATAACACGTGTAGACAGGATTGACATAAGCACGTCACAGACGCATTGTGTTCGGATTCAAGTTTAAACTATACAAATTGACGACGGGTTTGTCAAACCATCTAGCTGGTATTCAGATATTCATGCTCCATGGCAACCTCAGAACCATTTTTTATCTACACATCAGTGGTAAACCACGTATTAGTACTTTTTACTCTATAGTTTGTGCGGTTAAAATACTTGCTCTGCGATTCTATGTTTTCGTTCATTTTGTAGTCCCAAGATGTCGGAAAGCTTCGTTTGAACATTACAATAATTTATGCGATTTTTAGTAGCTGACAGACAACAAAATGAAGAGTGTTCTCTGCTTCCTGAACTAGCGACTACTACCAAGCGCACATTCGAAGTGTACAACAGCAAATCGGATACTGCGCTTTTATCCGATCCGGAGGCAGTTGTGCAGTAAACTTTTTAATTCCCTTCTAGACCCGTACGGGGAATCTTATAGAAACATATTAGTGAATCGGTGATTTTCAATGCTGGGAGAAAATGAGAAGAGATGTTTATTGCTCAATCAGGTCCTTCACCAGGGAATCTTGATACCCCAGTGTAGAACCACGGATGCATTTA